CAATATATATATATATATATAATATATACATACATATTATCTATATCTATCTATCTATATCTATCTATCTATCTATCTATCTATCTATCTATCTATATATCTATATATATATATGATACATACACACACACACACATATATATATATATTATATATATATATATATATATATATATATATATGTATATATATATATATATATTATATTATATATATATATATTATGTATATGTGCGTGCGTGTGTGTGTGTGTGTGGGTGGGTGTTTATGTGTATATATATATATATATATATATATATATATAATATATATATATATATATATATATATATATATATATATATATATATATACATGTATGGATGTACAGTACATTTAACAGCAGCAACCCTCAACTCAGAATTGACTCAATCACTCCACAAAGAGACAAATAAGTAGTAGATACATTCGTATCTACAACATACACAAGCATACATACTCGCATATTTACTAGACGGGAGAGACAGAAAACCATTTCGGCTGTCATGGCACGATCGACTGAATAGAGAAAATGTAACTGTCTTGCGTCTGGAAATCAGAGATGGTTGGGTTACATATTATGAAATCAGAGATGGTTTGGTACTGTTCTCTCTATATAAGGCAGGATTGTAAAATAAGAAGGTTGCAATTCATGCTCCTCCGCAGAACCATGAATTGCAGGAAGAAAATCGGAAAAGGATGTGACGCACGGCTGTTCCTAGCGGCGAGTGATTTGTCCACGAGCACCCTGACTACTGGTGGAGCGAACGTAATTATGTATTTGTATAAGCCGGGATACATTAGCGTGTGAGATCATATGAATCATGTGAATACGAGGGGTAAAATACAAGCATATTGGATATGTATGAGAGCCGTTTGGAATATTAAGAAACATGAATAAATCGATATAATGAGATGTATTAGTGAAATATTACAATGTGTTACTTGTAATAGGGATATAACGACGATAGTGAATCTCTTGTTTGCCGAGTGAACATAGGAAAGGGGAAGCTTAACTTTGACAAAGTATGCGTCAGCACTTCAGTAACTGTCGTGTCTACGCTAATAGATTAGAGGAGGCAATGAGAGACTTTGACTGTCATTTGTGTTCAGACAATAAGTGACACATCAATCGGTTACTTAGGTTATCCTTAACTTTCTTGACACGCCTCACACAGGCTAATATGGAAAAAAATCAACAACAGTGGCAATCATACTGAGTCAAATGCGACAATGTATGTCATAATATCCACTACGAAATAATAAACACTAATACCGATTATTTAATTGCCAACAGCCCACGTTTGTATCCATAACCTCACAGACACTATATTTCCCCGGTTATTTATCAGTCTGTCCTCTCTTCCTAAACAACGTATACCTTCCTCGGCAGCCTAACGTTTTCTTTCCTACCTTAGTGTATGCAACATCTAGGTGTCTGTTGATATCTCCTAGTGGCATTCTTGGCACTGGTCTTGCCGATTCATCCTTCCTTGCCTTATCCGATCCTTCATGTGCCCTTTCTCTTCTGCGTCAACACCTTAAGCTTCTGTGATCCCTGCTAACAAGCACTGCTCGTTGCCGATCGGACTTGTCTTTGCTTCTGCTTCCATCTTCCTTGGATTTTTTTTTTCTTTTCTTTTTTTTACTGAAAAGAGATATAGATACACACACACACACACACACACACACACACACAACACACACACACACATGCACACACACACACACACACACACAAACACGCACATATATATGTATGTATATATATATATATATATATATATATATATATATATATATATATATATATATATATATATATATATATATATATATATATATTATATCTCTCTATCTATCTCTCATCTCTCTCTCTCTCTCTCTCTCTCTCTCTCTCTCTCTCTCTCTCTCTCTCCTCTCCTTTCTCTCTTTCTCTCACACACACATACATCCATTTATCCAGTTATTTATATCCTCACAGACATAGGCAAGCACAATCATTCTGCTCTGTAGCGGAATGGGCACTATTTGCCAAGAGAGTTGAGGGATTAAGTTCTAACTATGGTTGTTAAAACTTTCTGTTGTCATAGGAGAAAAGTAGAATTAAACGTAAAGAGAATATGTAAATAAGAAAAGGACGAGCTGGAAAATTGTTTGTTTTGAAGCAGTTACCCATAAAGGAGTAACGCTCTTTGATAATCATATTCAAAGAAAATGTAATTATAGGGGTAACAGAAACTTTTCGGCTGTGAAAGTAACAATGATTTATAATTTTGGCTCATAGTTACCATTTTGATCCATCATCAGAACTAATATGAGTTTTCATCATTATCTTTCTATGAAGTTGTTTTTGTTCCGTTGTATACAGAATACAGATAACTTTATATTTGGTATGATACTTTTAATGCGACACATTTACCACATAGTAAAGAATGTGTTATACACGCACACTTCCTCTGTACTGATTTTACTGGGCAATCACAGAAACATTATCACAGAACCTATACATACCGCAAACTGCATTAAATCATATTTTTTCTTTTTCACTTGCTTTCTCAAACTGTATACGATTCTCGCCTTTTACATTAATAATTGATGTATATTTCCTCTCTAGTATTTAGGGAATAACAATGAATAACAATAATAAATAATTTCATGTTTTTTTCTTATACACACCTGACACTTATCCGTAAATATTTGCAAATATTCGAAAATTCTCACTAGCATCTCTCGCATGAATATATCCGTTCATATCCCTCATATCTGCTTAGATATATTTGACAAGTTTTTATTTGGATACACTACCGTCCGTATCTGTGACTGTCTCATTCTCTACTGTTTAGTTTACTATCCCTAATCCTCTTGAATTCCTTAGATTTCCTGTTTTCAAGTCTACAGATACATTCCTACGCATCTGTGCCTTTAACTTTTATTTGAAATTTGAATAATGTTTATGTAGCTAGATTTGCATATTTGTCAACTCTTCTTGTATACACGCGATAACTACACACTATAAAACAGAACGATATTGCTTATGAAATAGTGATTTATTTGTGGTCCTTGATTGGGCTGTTAGACTTATTTTCTATTTTTAAGTTAGTTACGCCATCATTTCTGGAGTATTTATGTTTAATAGACTATTCAGCCAATAAGAGATATAATTATCTCTATTTAATTTATCTAAATTCTTTTCCCCTTACTGCATGAATTGTCTTTAATACTTTCTCCTGTCTCATTATAGTTAATCTTCAAGAGAATTGCCATTTCATCAGATGAAACAAAGACGACCATTTGCCAGTATATTCTGTATATATGCTTGGATAACATACACTTGCATTCTAG